TGTTAGACAAGCAGAGACATTAGTGCTTATTCAGGGACTCACAGGACATTAGTTGTCCCTGGGGACAACCCCAGCATGTGGCAAATTGCCCTGGGTGGGGTAGGTGAGGCTGGGGCCAGCACCTGGTCTGGCCCCACCAGGCTTACCTGGGGTTCTGGGAGCCTAGTCAGCGGCCAGAGCATGGCTCTGACTAGCCAGGCTCTGGTTTGGGTGGCATACACTGCCACCATGTGAGCTGCCCTGTTTTTTTTTTTGGGGGGGGGGGATCTCCTAGTGTCAAAAAAAACCCACTGCACTGCTAATTTGCAATGCAACAAATACCTGCATTTGCAGCACGTGCAGTTTGTGGAGCCACAGACCGTTCTGTAGCTACACAAACCACACACGCATGCTTGAGGGGATATGCCCAAGAAGGGTGGAATAAGATCACACTGAAGTGTCTAAGTAAGGTAATAGGATCTCATATAATATCTTACACACCTACTTAACTCCAGGCCTCTAGGCTGGGATTCTGGCAAAATCTAATTAGTCCCTTAGACAGATCCAACCTAGGCCATAGGCTGCTTAGAAATGAGACTCCCAGTAGATTTAGGACTAAGATCCCCTATTTTCTGGGGGAGAACTCTAAAAATTGGGTTCTTATATAAGAAATGGGCATAACAGATAGGCAAATTCTGGGGTAAAAGTGATTAAATGGCTGCTACAGATTCAGATTGTATTGAATCTGAATTTTATATTGCAAATTCAGATTATAGCCTGCTGGGACTCGGATAGAATTCAGGAGCCACTGAGTTTTGCATCTGCATTACCTTGCTACTTAGAATGTCCACACAATATGAGTTAACAAAATCCATGCATATGGCACTATTACCACAGATAAAACCATAGCTGAATGTGCAGTAATTGTTTGTGAAAGGTGCCAGGTTGGCTGCCTAGAGACTGAACCCCAGGACCTAATATATAAGTGTCAATGGCACTGCAAAAATCTCCACAATGTCTTGCCAATGTACATTAACCCTGCTCCACAGGGACCTCTTGAAGTGCGAGAGAGTAGTTCACTTGTCATATTCAATGAATCCTTGTTGGCAATCTCAGCAGAGAAGACAAGACCATGAACTCGCTTTTTTTATGACAGGAACATCTATGCACTAGAAAAGGAACTAAGGCCATTTTTTTTCCACATTAGCCCCCAAATAACCTTTGTAATATAATGGCTTGTTCATCATTTGACCTGATGTAGACATGAATTTGTGAACTGAAGGTAAAAGATACCAGACGATAACGTTTCCAAGGTCCTTAGCCAAAAATGAGTCTTTGCCCTTTGTATCCAAGTTTCTGACTTCAGAAGCAGGCAGACATAACTATTTTTTTCCTCTAATGCTGAGAAAAAAAGATTCAAGTGCATTCAAAAAGAATGCACTTTTTTGGGGAAAAAATAAACTGCAGAGAAAGGGAAGGGGCATTGTTCTTCTTGTAGTTTGAAAACGATGTGCTCTGTGGATATGGAAGTCTTCAGGGTCTTGTTGTCATTAAAACTTCACACTTTCATCTTCTAAAGAATTGTTAGAGACTCAAATTGGGGAAGGGCTTTAGAGTATAGGTTTAATTAGATTCCTGCATTCTATAATGACATCAGAATACTTAATATATTGTTCCCTGTAATGGATATTTGAGAATATTTGCAGAAATTATTAGATATCTGGCAGAAGAGTACTGTGCTGATCCATACTTCCTGGAACACACAATCACTGTGTTAAATTCCTTTCAAGGCTTCAATTTAATATTTTCCTCCCTTCAGTTACTTGATACTGGTTCATCAGACTTCCCTGGCTCAAAAGTACACCAATCATTTTCTTAAGTTGGAAAATGCTTATTGAAAATTATAGTCCAGTCATAACTGAATCTACAATATACTACTCTTGTACCTCAGATATGTATCTCAAATATGACAGTTAAATAAGACATCCCCCCTCCTTATAGAAGAAACAAAATTTGTGTACCCCAGATAATGTACTGAAATTAAGTCCCAAAGACAATATTTTATAGATGCACATACTTAAAATTTTAAGTATATAGTTATAATGGGCACATCTACCCAAGATGTTTACTGCAGAACTGACTAATTAGCTCCACAGTGGGCACGTCTATACAAGATGCTAACTGCGAAGTAGCATAATAACATTGCGCAGTAGCGTGCCAGACAAAACCCATGCTAATATGCTACTGCACAGCAGTATTAGGCTACTGCACAGTTAGCATATGTAAAAACCTGTATACCAGCACTACTGCCAGTTATTGCACATTGATTTAATACTTGGTTATGCAAGTACTAAACTTAGTGCACAGTAACTACAATGCATAAATGAATGCGTAGACACACCCAGTAAAGGTCTCAGAGTCTACATGTGTGGCCC